GGTTAATGCAACCACACTGGGCTGCACACAGAGTAAAAAACACATTAGGTCTCTACTGCGGTCTCTTAAGAGACCACAGGAGTACGATTTTCAAAAAATGGTAAAAACAAAGAAAAAAAATGGTAGAAAGGCTAATCATGACATCTGATTTAACAAAAATGAATCAGACAAAAAATAGTTGTGTGCAAATTCTGGTATTTTAAAAAGTAAAATGTACTTTAAAACTAATACAAATTAATAAAATAAAAACTTTAAGAAAAAGAACTGTTCATCAGACAACAGATAAAGTAACTTTAGAATAACAGCTTTTGGAGAAACAACAAGAAGTCTCACTTTAACATAAACTATAGGTGTGTGTCTGGTGCATTTTTGGTAAAATATGTTCTTGATTTAGTGAAATTACTCAGTGGATAGAGTATTCAGAATGTTACTACAGTAGAAGTACCACTACTTCATAATAATATTACTCAAAAGTAAAAAGTACAATGTAATAAAGCAACTCCTGAAAGTATTTTCTTTTCAAAAAGTTAGTCAAGTAAACGTAACAATTAACTACCAAACACCTGGTTATATCAAATTAGTTTATAGCACCTAAACCTGAAAAGATACATGTACTTTCATTAAATTTACATCTGTAATGCAGCGTAGTACCTGAAAAGATGTGGACACATGTTTTTCCAACCTTAAAACTCTGATCTCCCTAAACGTTTAAATGTGATTGGTTAAGGGGTGGAAACAGATTTCTCTGACCTATGAAGTTTCTGTGTTTTTTTTTAAGTCAGGTGTGCAACAGGAACTTGAGAAAGGTGGGGAAAACACATCTACACATCTGAATAAAAAGATTGGATTGTCTACACCAACATCACATTAAAACAACATCTTTAAAGATGTTTCAGCTTTTAAAAACATGTATTTTTCTTTTTGATTGTGCTGGATAAGAAAGAGGTTACGGAAAAGGAAAACACAAACAAACAAACCAAGTAAAGAACTCCAGACTTGATCTGTATCTTCAACATCTCAAAAACAAAGTAGTCATTGATAAGACTTTGACTTCTTCTAACATACAAGCCTCAACATTAGAAGATGTCTACTCTGAAACCTCAAATATTCAGACAGAATTAAGTAATATTAATAAATGCAGTTAATTCTAAAGGTTAAATTGGTGGGTTAAGATTAAAATTGCAAACATACCACTGCTGCAGTCAGTCCTTGCCTCTCCAAAGCACAGTGACAGTTATTACTTTGTGTTGAACTTCTCATATTCACAGAGGGGACCCTGTAAATAGGTGGCCCACATACTGGTGACACATTCTTGACATTTAAGAGTTAATTGACTTTCTTTCATTTACCAGCAGTGACCAGACTTGCGGCGCTTAGCTGTTTTGGAAATTGATCATTTTATTGGAAAAAGAAGCGGCGGAGCAGTGGGAGTACTGAACGGGCCGCGTGATGTGAATGCTGTTAAACCACAATAGAAGGGGAATAACACCCGGCTGAGGGGCTGTGAAGATATTAAAGGCCATGAAACTGTCACTGTACAAAAACATCCAACTCCTATTGGAAAGTTTTGTTCTGAAGTCAAACATCTGGTGAACAACAACAACAACTTTAAGTCTGCTGTTGGCAAATCAAGCACCCTTTCTTTTTGTCAATACCTTGATCCGAGATAATTGTATTTATGTCTACATTTAAAAAATATGTTAAAACAAATTATGAAGAAGATTGCAAGGGAAGAGGTTAAAAATTGAATTTAGCCAATAAAGTCTCAATCTGTTTTTACCTATTATTATGGTTAGGTTATGTTTATAAAAACCAGAAACATGGAGCCTCCTGTGTGTTCGGCCAGAGCAGGGTAGTGTAGCTACCAGTTAAACTGAGAATTATGTCTCCTGTCTGCAATGTACTTAATAAGTTAGTAATTCTGCAAAGATGTATACACAAGCTACAGATGATGACAGAGAGTCCAGAGCTTCTATGGAAATACTAGGAGATCCACTGCAGAAGAACCAACACTTTGTATTTATTTTTAAACTGGTTGATGCATGAACATTGTTTAAGTTCCATTTTCAGTTCGTTCCATTGTTTGACCTCAGTTACAGTGATACAAACTCTTTTCATACTATAAACAATGCACAATATTTTAATTCAAAAAATGAAGTCAGATTTCTGTAGAAAAGGGAGCTGCAAATCATCATACCTGAAACTTAAAATCTGCAAACAACATCCTAAATGCTGATTGCTTTCTATGAACTGTGTCTGGATTTTTGTGTGTGTTTTCATTAAGACAAATGTGATATGGATCAGTTGTTTGGAAAACATCTTGAGTTTTCCAAATGTATCAAAATCTGCTTGAGAGTTTAAAAAAAGGTGGATGTTTGCATATTTAATATGAAACTGATTTTAAAAAAGCATTGTTGAGAAAATATATCTTATACTTTTAAAATATTCTAACTTGTGTATTCTTTTGAAAGGCAGTGACATTTTTTGTATTATTATTTTCTTTGAATAAATATGAACTGTAGAAGGAAAACCAGGTTTGAACAATTCTTTTTGAATTTTATTGTCAAGGATAGTAAAAAAGTCACTCCATGGACAACAAATGTCCCTTCAGGCACATTTTGGACTCTAAGGTGCAGACTTGGATTCAGGTTACGTTTAAGTCTCTAAATTAAAACCTTCAGACGTGACTCAGCCTTGCATTCTAAAAACTATATTTAAAATTTATAGTCTGAGTCACTAGTTTTATTAACAATCATTAGCTACTTTAAATATGAGTGAAAGTAGGCTGGTATGTAAACTACAGACTAGAGCTCTTATTAGCGAATAACAGCCGTTAATTATTAATTGTTTATAATGGTGTGTTTATGTTTGCTGTAGTTCCACATGGATTTCTCTCAAACTGAACTCTGTGTTAAATTACTTTGGGTTATTTGATACTAAAATCAACTTTACTTGCTCCTAAGCTACTGTCATTACAGACAAAAACATTTCTGGCTAGTCAAAATAAAAACACTTTCTAATGTATTTGTTTCTTACATATATATATAATTTAATTCACTCATAACAGTTTTGGGGTGTTTAGTTGTGAATTGTTTTTAAAGTTCATGTTAAAGTGGATCAAACTGTATATGATTTGAAATCCTAACCCATAAGAAAATGTTTCACTCAGAGATTTGCTTTGGTGAAAATGACTTGTAAACATGTCAATACTAAAATGCTGATTTTCCAATATATGCTTCAAACGGTTTGATGATTCTTGGAGACTGTCAGAAATAACTATCTATCATCTGTTTATAATTTAAAATAACACCTGTATAAACCACTGCTATTTCTGAAACAGGAGTTCCAGCATAATCATTTTCTTCATTCTTGGGTCTGCTCAAGAGTCGCATCCTATGGCTAAGATATTGATTTCTTATAAGCTCTCACAAAATCCCACTATAAAAAAAATTGTATTCATATCTGCAGAATAGATCCTTGCCTTCATAATATCAGGATTTGTACTACTGAGGCACTTTTTAGTTCCTTGGTCCACTCAAAGTGAGCTTCAGATCTGTGTTTCAGCTCTCACCTGTTGAGTGGAGCACTTTGAACTGCAACACAGTGGATGGATTTGAGTCATAGCAGGTTATATGATGCAAGCAAGTGAAAAACTGGCCTTTTGATATGGCTCACCTAAAGCAATTCCAAGTTTCATCTTAGCAGGTTCAAGCTTGGCAATTTAGTTTGGTCCATAATAAATAAGCAGTGTAGATTTCTTCAGCTTGTTTTAAAGCAGTTTTTAATTATCGTTTTTTACGGCAAAGAGGTGTTTCAAATTAAATTAACTGCCATTTTTGGTAAAGCTGGGTTCAGTTTTAAAACTGTAGGTTCAGCAACTACGTAACAGAACTTACCTTAAGACATAAAGTAGGCTGAAAGATAGCAAAACATGTGAGATATTAATCAGTTATTAATATTTATCTGTATGGAAAAAGTTACTCAGCCATTTCTAAGGCTTGAGGACTCCAGTAAAACACAGGGTGCCATTATCCACAGAAGTTTCCGGCCTACCAAAATTACCCCAAGATTCCAACTCATTCAAGAAGTCGGAAAAGAATCAAGAACACTTCCTACGCTTCTTTAAGGTAATTGTTAGTGATTAAAAAATAAGAAAGAGGCTGGTCAAAAATGGGATCTATGTAAGGAATGTCCCAAGGCAAAATAAAAAGGCCATAAAATACAAAATACTTTGGTTAAAAAACATCATAAATATTCTATGGATTGAGACTAAAGTGGCCTTCCATGACGGTTGTATTTAAAACTTAAAACATTTAATAAAAAAAACATGCTAGCAGCTAAATATGGTGGTAGATGATCTGGGTCGGTTTTCTGCTTCAGGACCGGAATGGCCTGCAGGTCTTAATGGAACCATGAATTCTGCTCTCTGCCTGAAAATCCTGAAGGATAATCTCCTATTGTCATAAGTAACCTCAAGCACATTTGGATCTTGCAGAAAAATAAATGAGAAATTCACCTCTGAATGGCTTCAAAAATGTTATGAATGGCATAGTCAAAGTCTCGACCTAAATCGATAGAGTTTCTGTTGTATGACCTTTAAATCAATCTGTCATTCCTGTCAAGGATGTGACAGCCAGTTGTTAGGTTTAGAGGGACTTTTTCACAAAGAACCAGTTGGCTTGTATAGCTTTATCCCCTTAATAAAAGAAATCGAAAATGTAATTTTATTTTTGGTCATTTTGTTTTTAATAATCTGAAAGACTTAAGTGAAACAAAAGAAATCTGCAAAGGAATGTTTGAAAAATCCTTTTTGATCAAACCAGGCATAACAATATGAAATATCAATAACATTTCTTGTATGGAATGTTTTTCAAATGTTGGATTTCATATTGAGAGAGAACTTTTCAAATTTTCCACCTGAGGTTCTGTCGCAGTCTAGAACAGGTTATCACAACTTTCATAATCAGTGGCAAGCATCCTCAAAATAATAGACAGCCGTCTGACGGTTCGGAAAAACACGTCATTACATATCCTGTTTATTTAAGCAAGGTTCAATGTTTTGGACAAAAGCAGACTTCCGCTCCATGTCACAATTAATCAGCAGGAGCATCTTTCCTATAAGATGATCAAAAGATGTAGGTAAAACAGATCTCGTTCAGGCGATACCAAGTTCAGCTCAAAGCATGAAGTGAGAGTCACTTTTACTGACTTACTCATCTCAGGTTCATTCTGCTGATTTCTATTTACAGTAAGATAATTCGAATTAGTCAACATCAACTTAGTCATGTCTGTCTGTCTGTCTGACCATCATTGGCACGCTGCGCTCTGCAAGTTGCACAACAGTGAATGCAATGCACTGAAATCACTTTCACTAAGATCTTCATGAACTGCTATAACCTGCTTCTGCATTGCACCACCTCCGTTTCAACAAGAAAGTCGATTAAAAAAATAAAAAAAACTTGTCAAACTGACACTTTACGATTACTTTAAACAAGAGACAAAACTGTGATTGTTTTTATTTGTCTTATAGAAAAAAAGAATCGGTACAAAGACACAGGATTTTAAAAAAGTTATTTACAAAGAGAACCTGTCTTAGTTCCAGAAAAGCTACAGTAAAAATAGTTGGAACAAAGTCAGAATTTAATCCTGAAAAGGTTTTAAAACTGCAACACTCAGCGGCTTCAGTACAGATTGGTCCTCTTCATTATCCGTAGAAAGTCTTGCTCGTTGACTTCTCCGTCACCATCCTGGTCGGCTTCATCGATCATTTCCTGAAGGCCGACAAATATGAATGTTAAAGAGGGAATCGTGTGAAACAATCCACATAAAAATAAAAAATAAATAAATAAATATATATATATATATATATATACATATATATATATATATATATATTACATGACTAAAAAGTAAGAATAAAATGTTTTAAACTACAAAATTACAATTTGCTGAACTCCACAATAAAAAAAATCTAATTTACATTTTTTTGTTTGTTTTTTGAGAATTAAAAATTTCCGTTTTTCTTTTTCAAGGTTTTAAAACACAGCTGGTAGAAAGATTCAAAGTAAATTCAGTTGGGAATTTACTTTTATCATTTTCCAGACCTGGATAAGTCTGAGGAAAAAATAGCTTGTTATGGAAAAATGTTTGGTTCTACAGCCATTGTTCTAAAGGACAAAACCTAACAAAATTTAAAGAGGGTTATTACGTATTTTTCAGGCACATAGTGCCAGTTTATACTGCAATCAACTAACTATGGTAACTTCAGTTATGAAAATAATTTATAAATCAGGCATTACTTAAGAGAAATCTGATTTCGCAATCTGACGCCTTGAGGTTGGTCTCTGTCTCTTTTAGAAGCCTCTACTCTTTCAGACACTCCACCTTCAGCACATCATCACAGTAATACTCTTTATAAGCGTACATAGGAGCTTTGGACTGAGAAGTTGTTCTTATGATGAGCTCAGCAGACATGCATTTCCCACTTCCCCCAGGCGTTTGCTAATTGCTGCTGCCGCTAGTCTGGAGGAGTTAATTGGGCTGGAGTGGGTGAAGGGTTGCTGTGTGAGGCGGAGGCTCAATTGGAGACTGCAGCTCTGAGAAGGAGCTTTGGGTAAATAGAGGGTGCTGTGTATGAGCAAACGTTTAGGCACCCCTAAATGTTTGCACCAGAGAATCAAGGATTCCTCAAACAAACATAAAAGAATCAAAGCAGCATCCAGGTTTGTTTTTAATGAGAGAATAGCATTACAACATCATGTGAAGCTCAAAAAAGTTGATTTTACATAAGATTCCCCCTTTAAAATTTAGTATCCTTCAGTTTGAATTTCATGCTTCATCTTTGATATGCAATATCAGATCTTGATTTTAACATTTTACCCTTAAAATATTTTTTCTTCAATGACTGAAAGCTGTGCATTCAGTACTACCAACATTACTGAAAAGGTGCTACAAAGCTTGAATTAGTGCAAAATTTGGAAGCTATTTAAGGCGTTTCTGGAACCTACAGTTTAGAGATGTGAAATTATTGCACCTTTCACTGTTACTGAGAAATCCTTTTTATCATAAGAATTTTGATTTGTCATGATTATAAATTATACAACATATATTAGATGCCAGAGCGGTATTTGTGCTCCTGGGGCTTTGATTGTGTTGCGGCAATGTAAATGGAATGATCCAAGGTTGAACAGTGTAGAACTGGTGCACCACAAAGATGTGTTTTTGTGTTATAATGAGGAACCTCTCAAGATAATGCATCTGAATTAGAATTGTTTTACTGAATGGTGCTAAGTATGAATGTCTTAAATCTGAACTTTCATCCAGGATGGTCAAACCAGATTCTGCTCTACTAGATGTTCGCAACCCTGGCTTTGTTTTAGCAACAGGCTATGTGTGTTGCTGCGACATTAGCGCTTCTGAGTTGTGGTTTCTCTGCTTTTTCTGATCCTACCATGACCTCAGCTTGAGTTTAAGCCTCTCCCTCCGGGGCCAAATAAGATGTGGGCAATAAAGGAAAAAGTGACAAGTTTCGGTACTTAGCATGAACCAAGCTGATGTCGGATGCAGCATAATTAACTGGATGAACTGAGAACTGTCAGCACTCCATACTGAAGTGCTGACAGCAGCAACGCCATGAGGCAATAATGTGAGTGTTGAATATAGTAATGGAAATTTTATTTTAAAAAGTTGTTTCTTCTTACTCATTTTCAAGATACAAATTGTGTTTGAACAAATTAAATTTGTTTTGTAAACTACACACAAATAAAACAATGTACATGTCATCCCAATAACTTTATCAAATATTCTGATGCAACAAATTTAAGCATTTTAACTTGGTATATTAGCAACCTTTTAATTGTCTAAAAATAAAATTTCTAACTCTGAAAATACTAAGAAAAGGGCATCTGACCTGAGAACAGTGAGAGATGACCACTTGGTAAAATGAAGGAGACTAATTTGAAGCGGCCTCCATCACCTGCGTCGGAAGTTTGCACCTTTTACACAGATTGAATCTTTTTGTAGAGAGTTTTCATGGCATGTGTATTTTTTTGGACCAGATAGGTGTAATAAATATCAGATAGAACAACCTTAATTTAGCTGATCCATAAAAGAACTTAGACTCTCCACAATTATTTTATTAAATTAAAATATCATCATACACATCCATGAGGAAGACTATGACCAAATTATCCAGTCACTGACACCCTCAACAAGGAGGGTAAGCTATAAAACATCTTTGTTACAGAAGATAGCTGTTCACTGAGCTATAGCCATCCCTATTAATGATGAGAGAAAGAAAAAATTGTGGGAGAAACAGGGACAACTGTAACCTTAAGAGGATAGTGAAGAAAAGTCCATTCAGATCCAATAATGAAAATAAAGACCAGCACTAAAGCAAGCTGGGCTTCCTGAACGCTTCAGCACAACCACAAGATGTTCACTTCCATGCCGTGATGCACTGATACCGGAATTCAAGCAAAAGGAGCCCCAACCAAGTAACAGGTAACTGGTTTGACCATCCTGGATGAAAGTTCAGATTTAAGACATTCATACTTAGCACCATTCAGTAAAACAATTCTAATTCAGATGCATTATCTTGAGAGGTTCCTCATTATAACACAAAAACACATCTTTGTGGTGCACCAGTTCTACACTGTTCAACCTTGGATCATTCCATTTACATTGCCGCAACACAATCAAAGCCCCAGGAGCACAAATACCGCTCTGGCATCTAATATATGTTGTATAGTTTATAATCATGACAAATCAAAATTCTTACTGGACACATTTTTGAGTAGAGACACAGGTTTGAATGCAAAGTCGTATTATTAATCAATTTTATGTGATATTGTAAGTTTCAATGAATCTGAATTTGGAGGTTTTCATTTGCTGTAAATAATCATTAACAACTAAAAAAAAATTTTTTTAAATAAATTTGTGAAATGAACTTTTTGATGATACTGTAATTGGAGATGTTCCTATATTTATGACCGCAGGTACTGAGTACATAAAATAATAAATGAACTCCAACACATCTTGTTCTCTGATTTGTTTTTTGTTTTTCCCAAAAAGGAATCATTTCTACTTTGGACTCTTAAGATCATGTGTCAGACAGTTTTGTTATCCTCTTTGTGTTTTGTCCTCACTTTAAGGAATATTGTGATATTTTCCTTAATATAATTTCACTGATGATTCATTTACAGCCCACATATGTGATTATTGCACTGTAGCTCAAGAAAAGAAATATATTTTATATCAAAGTAACTTTTACTGAAACTTATCAGATGAAATGGATAATTTAGCAATATTATAAAAGATCCAAAGTTACCTGCAGCTCTTCATCTGTGAGGTTTTCTCCCAGCTCCTTGGCAACTCTCTTGAGATTTTTAAAAGAGATTTTTCCTGTGCAGTCATCATCGAACAGCCGGAAAGCCTTCAGTATTTCCTCTTTGCTATCCTTCTCATTCTATTAACATCACAGGAGACAAGAAACATGGGATTACTGTAAACAGATTAAAACTTCTCTTCTGAGCCCTAAATTATCAACTAATTCCAAATATGTCTTCCCTTTGCATCCAACACTAGACATTTTGTCTGCAGAACTATGGTAAACAAGCTGTCAGTTCTTTATGGCCAATCCCATTAAATGATAGAACAACACTTGTCTTCTTTATAATATGTCACTATGTTGAAATTTGGAACATTGTCCTGGTGGGAGAAACAACATTGCCTCATTTTCAGTTGCCAATGGAGAAAAACATGTTAAACAATTATTTTAAATGGTGTACTTCTTTTAAAGTAAATGTAACTGAAGCATATTTTGTAATTATACTATAAAGAAACAGTTTGATGAAGACAAGCAGACTAAGACCATGAATTACAGGAACCATGTCTTGTGGTCTTATCAGACCAAGATAAATGTATCTGGATCAAGCGTGTGATGGTGGTGAGGAGTACAACGACAACTGTGTTTTGCCCACAGTCAAGTTTGGCGGTAGGAGTGCAATGGTTTGGGACTACATAAGAACTATCATGTTGGGATCAACTTTACACTTACATGTGTACTCAATTTTGTTGTCAGCACTTGGCTGTGTGTTATTTTAAGGAGGCATTACTTGAAGTCTCAAATATAAAACAATTAATTAGGAGACAATACTAGAGCAATAAAAGTTTAATTTACTTTAAAGGCCTTTTTTAACTGTCAGAGTGAACAGGAGTTAACTCTGTGAACAACGTGTGCATATTTATCATTGTCCAACACTCACCATTTTCTGGGTCATCATAGAAAGAAAGTCATCAAAATCAATGGTTCCAGAACCATCCTTGACAATATCTGAAACCATCTTCTTGATTTCCTCCTTTTTTGGTTCAAAGCCTAGGGCTCGCATGGCAACCTGCAGCGAGGATAAACAGCCAATAAGGTTCTGTGAGCGCCAATAACATTTGATCTTTAACAAAGCCCACCTTGAGTTCTTTGATGTCTATTGTCCCAGTTCCATCTGTGTCAAACAGATCAAAAGCTTCCTTGATCTCCTGCTTCTGCTCCTCCGTCAGATCAGCTTTGGAACATGACTTTTTCCTTTGGCTCGCTGAGGCAACAGATTTCCGGTAATTTGTAGCCTAAGAAACAGACATGATCAGAAATTACCAGAAGAAAAGCCGTATGTATAGAAGAACCAAGCTAGCTAGCAAAAGCTCTCGTTCGGCTAATGGTGAGACAAAAAAACCCAAAACAAATCAACGCCTTTAAGACTAAAATGAACATAAAACATTGTGAACAGAGCAGACATGAGATATTAAACACTTCGGCACAGCTTTACCATTTAAAAACTCGAATCCACCAAAGACGAAAACTTCAAAGTTGTGTTTGCTAATCAGATGTCAACAAAACATGCAGCAACGGTTGTATTTTTTAACGGACACACCCGGCAACCAATAGAAGGTAGGAAAAAACGAAATATGGTCTTGTTAACCAATCTTAACGTAGTACAGGCGGGCTTTAAAAGTTTCCACCAATCGCCTTAAGTCATTTTTTGTGTTGCCCAGCAACTAGGGCATTTAACGCATGCGCATTATTATTATTTTTTTTTAAGCCGCGCGTCCGGAAGAGAGCTTAAAACAAAACAAGCGGTTCAGACTTAAAAATAAAGGTAACGGCTCGTTTTCATAAATAAAATCTGAACAGTTATATCTTTTCAGAAAAGACTGTTTTATTGTATTTCAGGTATAACACGGGTAACTTCATTAATAATATTATTAATGGTAGCCTGCACGCGCCTTATCTGCAAAACGTCTTCAATATAAAGTAAACATTTTATATTTATTTTAAAAGTGGACTTAGAACGATTTTGAACCAGTTTGAATGTTGTAAACTATGGAATTAGAGCATCACATTCTGGTTTTTATGTTAATATACTGCATAAGGATTAAATCACAGTATTGTTCTCAATGGCACATGATTTATTCAGATCAAATGAACAAGTAGGATTTGGAGTCATGAAATAAACTTTTTTGCTTGTATCTCCGTGTTGTCTGACAGGTTGACATTTTTGAGGCATGCCATGAACTTCATGAAGGTTCCAACATTCTTGTACTGAAGTTGACAGATCAGCTCTGTATGTCGAGCTCCATTTTTCCAGTTTCTACCTGTTTCCAGTCAAATTTAAGTCTGCACTGGTTGTTGACTGTGTCATTTAACAATTCTTTCCTGAACAGATGTTAAAATATTTTTTTTAATTGAACAAATGTATTATTATCTTGAATAATGACTTAAATATCACCAAACTTGCTTTGGATGGACACAAATAGAAATGCAGCTCCACATCATCACAGACTGTGGAAATGTGGTGGTGTTCTTAAGGCAGTCGTTTATATGTTTCATGGGCATGATACCGAACAACTGTTCTAGCGTCATTCCCTCTGAATATGCACATTTGTTATCTTATTTTCTTTCAACCAAGTTCTTACAGTGTGCTTTTAAACTTTGACTGCTGCTTATATAGTTTTGGGTTTTGTTTCTTTTATGGTGTATTTTCTATTTTCAAGGCAATATTGCTTTGAATTTTCAATTAATGTATTCTTGTATGCTTCCATTTTTCACATTTACTGTTTTGTTTGGAGTTGTTTTTCCAGCGCTCATTTACCTTCTTTAAATTTTTTTTAACCCATTTCATTGTTTCAAATGGCAGCTCTGATGTTGGGGCCTCGTTTCCTGTCAGTGGCCCAAGTGCAACAGCTCTCGCTGGTCTGGAACCACTTCTTTAACTCCTGATTCATTTGCGTATTTACAGTAATTGTGAAAACATTATTTTTTGTTTTTATTTTCCTGTACTTGGTCTAAAGAAAAGTGATTATTGGGCATGGGCTGCATTATGATTGTTTAAGCTTTGGGTGTTGTACTTAACAACTCCATCTGTGAAGCAGACAATAGTTGGCTTATATTATTTTGGTATACCTGCTTATTTAGTATACCTACCACTTGGGGACATTGCCTCGTGCCCAAAAGCCACAGTCATGTAGAGGAGACTGAAGTGTGACACATCAACTAGACATATTTAGTATTAGTAATTAGTCCTTCCTTATGCTGACATTTTTGTCCTGAGTTAGATTTTCTGTTGAAAAGAATATTCCTGCTAAATAAAATGTAAAGCATTGATCTTAAATACAACATTAATGTAAGCAAACCAAGAATCTTTGGAAACTTATAGCTTTCTCTAGGACACAACGTTAAAATTTAAAACTGTATAACCTTTTTTCCACAAGTAATGTTAAGCAAATTTATTAATTAAACAGATCATATTTGCTGACACTGAGTGTTTCTGATTCTTTTATTTTTCAGTCTGGATAATGCTGGAAGGCGTAGTAATAAACAGTCGGCAACATGTTGGACTCCAGAAACTCTCAGCACTTTCAGGAAGGATACGATCCTCCGTTGGTCCGTTTAAAAACTACAAGTTCATTCAAGATGAATCGAGTGGGGACTCGGTTCTTGTGTGCTCATGCTTTCGTATCATTGAGAACCTGGAACCTACATGCGCGGTGGGTCAGCTGGTTTATGAGACTGTTCGAGGCCATCATAAGCAGTACCGCACAGGGTCTGGATGCTTACTGTTTCTTGCAGGAGGTTGGAGCCGTGCTGCATTGGACAGCCTCCGGAGAGGCATTTCAGTTCAGCACATAATCACAGCTATGTCTGAGGGGATTGATATTTGCTTGGATGTTTGCAAGAAATTTTCAGTTTCATTCAAGGACCTCGCTGTAATGGAGAAATGCACCGCTGCACCTGGAGGTACAAAGAAAGCTTCTACCGACGCATCCATAGAGATGGCAAACTTTCATGACAAGTGTCTAAGCAAGAGTGGACAAAGAAAGGTTAAGCTCAGCAGACATTTTTGTGAGGCCAAGTCTGATATGCTCTCCACAGTTCGGCATCCTGATCAGCCTGACATGATAGTCATTGCTGAGTCTTTGAGCCATGGTTGTGAAAAGGCTATGAAATTGGCAGTTGAAGCTGCTCAGATGCTGTTAAAGACAAACCAACAACATATCAGAGATCCCTTGTTTGACATTTCAAAAATGTTAACTTGTCTTGTTTCTGGTTTGCCAGAGGACTACGCATGTGTTGTTGAAGGCTGCGTTCTTCTTTTATCTGACAAGCAGGCTGCAGTTGCTCATGTGGTAAAACAACAACCCCTGAAAGTTGCTCTTATTACTGGAGATCTGTCTCAGACCTACCGCCATCTGGGCTTCAAAAGCCTACCAGGTGAACAATGTGTGTGTGAGGACTTGGATTTGTCAGTTTCAAACAAAGAGGATGAATGGGTGGATAAGGTTGTGAAACTACTCCTGAACCTGGAAGTGAAACTGATACTAACTGCTGGCCTTGTCAGCCAGAAGGTCATTCAGCACTGTTGTAGGCATCAGATTCTCGTGGTGGAGAAGGTCAACTCTTCTGTTTTGAAGACTATTGGCAGCTCAACTGGAGCTATTCCAGTAAATTATGCCACACAGTTAACAGAGTCTTGTGTCGGTGATGGTGTTAATGTTGAGATCTGGAGGGACCTCAGCAGCTATGAGAGGAAATCTTTAACAGCTGTGAACATTTCCACTGGCAGGAGTAGTGGGCTGGTCACAGTGGTTGTCACAAGTTGCGTACATGGCAAGCTGCAAGCCCTGGAGGACCAGTTCTGGGCCTGTGCATACCGTTTACACCATGCACTGAAAGACGGAGCCCTGCTGCCTGGTGCTGGAGGAGCCGAGTTGCTTTGTGTTCATCAGCTACAAAAGCAAGCAGAACACGACAGGGTGAAAGACAGCAAAACTGGGTCAGCAGCTAACCTCTACAGAGGTCTCGTGCTACAACTCATGGCAGGTGGTTTAATAGATTACATAACGGCTGTAATGGTTAACACCGGAAGGTTCACTGCAGCCAATGCTAGGACTATTGTCAGCAAGCAACTGACGGAATTTCACAGAGATGAAATAAGTACAGAGAAGTTTTTACAACTTGTTTCACAGAGCAAAAGAGAGGATGCAGGTTTCTCAGCAGTGAAACCAGATGAGGCACCGGCTTTGAACATCTATGATAACTTGAGTGTAAAGCAGGAAGCGTGGAGGAAAGCTTTAGACCTAGTTTTACTAGTTCTACAGACTGATGCAGAAATCATCACAGGAACTGGCCAAAAAAATGAGGGGAATCTGATGCTGCTTTGATTGTTCCAATAATTTTTTCATTTATTGGTTTTCTAATTTTTGCAATTTGCATAAAGTTATTTTTTTGTTAAAGTCATGTTATATGAGTTTTCTTGTCCTCAGTGACATAGATAATATAGTGTTCTGTCTATTCTCTACCACTAGGGAGAGACATAATCTTCGAAAATAAACCTTTTGAAAACATTTCAGTGACCTGGGTTTTTCATTCAAAGTTGCAACATAGTCACAGTAAACTTTTGAAATTGACAAATTATTAATTATTCTTTAAAAATCCAAGGCGGGAATTTTTTTTGTTGTCAAATCTTTGCTTCTAAACATTTAAATCAGTCCAGGGCTCAGTAATCTTTTAAACATAAGTATCTATTCTTTACTCTCAGGCCAGCCAAATAAAACTTGTTCAGAGCCTCAAATATCACATGACTTTTTAAAAGCAGATAACTTATAACTTTAGACAAATATTTACTGTAGAAAATTTGCTGTTGTCTTTAGTGAAACACAATTTTATTTATCATTGTTAGGATTTAAAATAAAGATTAGCAAAGATGAGGATTGTTTTCAGTGGGATGGAAAATGTAAAAAAACAAAACAGAACATTGATTCCAACCTAATAGCAAGAACCCAGATCTAAAAACATATTGCAAGAGCTTTTAGTGTCATTCTTTGTGGAAATGCAATGCGCATGTTGTGGGAATAAACTGAAAAAAAAAAGGAAACTGTGTCATATGTAAATTTAAAAAGATTAGCTGGTTATTTTTCATTTTTATCCAAAGTTATTCAGAGCCACTGTGAAAGGTCCAGAGACCCATTTGTGGCTCCAAAGCTGTAGGTTGCAGACCACTGATTACCTCAAAGCAAGACTTTCAAGAGAATATTAGCTGATTTAAAAGTATTTTAAATATTTAATAAATGTATGCAAGTAAACACACTTACACCCTTGAAAGCTGCTCAATAGAAAGGGGAACTTTAAGGAACACGCTTGAACTGGTGATGTAATGTTATAGTATTGCCGTTGTATGCAGAATTCCCCTTTTTGTATGTTAGACATTTACGGTGGCAATGACATGCGTGAACTTCCATTTCCTGTGGGAGAGCCTCATGTGTGCTAAAATTAGCTCAGTGAAATAAAAAGCTTCCCCAGCTCCACCAGGGCATTGCTGTGTGGTGACATTGACGAGGTAGACGAGTGAGACATGAGAACCACAAGGCAATGATAGGGGAGCTGCAGATCCGACCGACAGTTCAGAGCAACTCATCTATGCTTTAACTGAATATCTGGATTAGAGAAGAATATAAAACCTTAAAAATTAAAACTTGTTCTTCTGATAACCTTACTAATAATTATTGTGGTATTTATGTTAGAAGATTGCTCCAAGAGTCCTCTCGGTTGTGAGGACCAGATATATCTGCCAGTCTGTCCAGGGGGCAGGTTTTTTAGGTTAAACCCAAACTCCAAGTGGATATTATATGGCCAGAAATTAATTATGATGTTCAGATCCACCTCACAGATTGAAACACAGCAGATAATCAGAGATGTGAAGTAACTAGTTATATTTACAATAGCAGAATTTGCACAAAGCTATAGATCTCATCTGATATTTTAAAATATTAAATCTGAGGTGTTGTTACACAATACTTAGGTAGTTTTTTTTACAAAACACTTTTTTACTCTTACTTTTTTAAGTTTGCAGAGTACACTTGAACCAGAATACCTGAGTGATCTAGAAGATTGATACAATAGCAGATTTTGGTTCTAAGCCATTCAGTGCGTCATAAACTAACAGAAGTATTTTAAAGTCTATCCTCTGAGCTGCAGGGAGCCAGTTAAGGACTCTGGAACTGGGGTGATGTGCCCTGTCTTCCTGGTTCTAGTGAGAACATGAGCAGCAGCGTTCTGCAGACAGACCTGTAAAGGGAATGTTGCAGTACTGAATTCAACTGAAGATAAAGAACATGGATGAGTTTCTCAACATGAAGAACAGTAATCCTAAAACTGTTCTTCAAGTTGAAAATAACAGTTACACTAATTCAGTGAAGCTTTCATTTCTCAGCAAGTTCCTGGGCTTTCTGTTAGAAATAGTTTATTATGAGCGAATTTCCCTCTGAGTCACTGGGATGGCTTCTTAAGCCTTCTTTTCCTGCTCTGGGAGTGAATGAATGAAAACAGTGGTTCTGTTCACATACTGCTGCTGCTGATGGTTCTGGTTTCAGTTCTCTGAGGCTTCAGTGACAGATTCCAAGCTGCCCGTCCCCCTTTCCCAACCTCTACTGGGTTGGCTGGTTAAATTGGCGAGGATTAGTGGGCGTGAGCATTGCGTGTGTGTGTGTGTGTGTGTCTGGTTGCTCCTAGGGCGCATGCGAACTGAGGCCCAAAAGGGAAAGCCTTCATCAGAGATCTAAGCCAGCTGCACTGCTTCAACTGCAAGAAGAGAGTTGAACTGAAGGGATCTGCATGCAAACCCTTCTGCATGTACGCCAGAGAGGCAGCCAGCTCTACAGGCAGCAGATCAAACTGCTACAACTATGAGAAATGAATGATTCCAATCAGATTGATCCCTCTAGATTCTCAGGCCTTAAAGGGCACTTTCCGCCCTGACAGGGGGCTTCTCAGGAGTACTGACCTCTGAGGTTAAGTGGAATCAGTCTGTGTGAAGGGCTGCGGAGAAGGGGAGGAGGGAGAAGTTTGTGGGAGGTGGGAGGCCACGGCGGGGCTCCTGCACTTCTCAAGAAGGAGACGAAGCAGTTGTCAGGAAGCAGCTTGAAAGGAGGAGATGGCCACGGGAGAAATCACAACTCTTCCCGCTGTACCTGAGGACGGCGCCAGTGGTGGCTTTCCTCCTGGGAGCTTCAAGGACCCCAAGAGGCTGTACTGTAAAAACGGAGGCTTTTTTCTGAGAATTAAACCCGACGGAGGTGTGGATGGAATCCGGGAGAAAAGCGACCCTCACAGTAAGTATTTCCAGTCTCATTCTTCTTGCTTTGGGCACTACACAAAGCTTCTTTAAGGTCTTTAATGTGTAACAGAAAATGAAAGGAGAAAGAGACTCTTCCAGCTTATTGAGGTTAATTCTGCAGTTAATGTAGGAGAACCTAGGAGAAGCATGAAACCTCCAGGTTAGTAAACTTTTTTTTAAATGACAAAGAATTTGAATGGATGATGTTTTTAGTTTGTGTTTTCACCCTGCTGAGTCACTCACTGAAGAATTTACGTCACACAAGACAGCAAATTAAATCCCTCTCTCTCAAAGCCATCAGAAATTATAACAGATTATATATAGTCAGTCAGCTCAGCTTTTATGTACCCTTAAGTAAAAACATGTGTGTGCTTGTTTTGAATGAACAACCATGATGCCCATAAAGGTTTCCAGGTCACTGATTACTTGAAAGTATGTCCTGAACTTTCATTAGTGAGTAGGAGGGACTAGGAAGAACATGGAGCTGGACTTTTTTCCCCTCCTGGGATAACACATGCCTGGCAGAGTTGTTGAAGATAAAGGGCAACCTGTCAGCCATGAGAAGCTAAACAAATACATTGTTTGGACACTTGGTAGTTGTTTCTAAAATGTCCTTTAGTTCTTGCTGTTCTCCCTATGGACATTTCTTGGAGAATATTACTGTTTTATAAAGGAATAACTCCTCATTACGTTGAGTATTGAGCTTTTCACTCAAATAGTCTGCTGTGATTTTAGTTCTTTGCATCAATGCTCCTTTTGTTAAACCCTGACAGACCTGCCAGATGAAGCTGGAAACATAAGAGAACATGTGATCCACAAAATACTGCTTTCCTTATCCCAAAGCCCTCGGACAAGGACGTCACCACTGACTACTTCTTGTATTTTAATCCCAAATGTTACACAGTTTTGACACTGGTATCTGTCCTCCTTCAGGAAAGGACATATATTGAAAAAACAAACCTAAAGCAGCAAACCTTCTTATTTAGGCTAACACACCTCTTTGATCTGTCCTTGAAATATTCTACCATCTAACTAACTTCAGACAGATGCACTGAAAGGCTTAATGTGGGTTAATTTAAGACAGATCCTGTAATTTATCTTATGAGGCCCCTTCTTCCTTTTTGGTGGCTTGCTACACATGGGTTCCTGCTGGTTAGATGAGCAGTCTCTATCCTAACAAACAAAAGGAAGTGGAGATGATTTTCATCTGGTTTTGACGAAGCTGCCACATGGTCACCAGTGGTGCTTGGGGACTCATTACCACCACTTTAATATCCAATGTCACACAGTGATAGGCAGAACACAGAGGAAGCCTGTTTGGCTTTAATGTAACAGTTTTTAAACAAAATCTCCATTATCACAATTATAGGCATCCATGCTGATAATATTTTGAAGTTTTTGAAAAGCAGGAAGGAACTTGGTCTTCTCCCCTAAAATGAAATGTCTTGAGGTTGGACCATACGGACATTCAGATTGCATGATGTTGAGTTATGTTTTTTCTGTTTGTAGACTTTTGTTCTTTGCTTTTTAAGTTGAAGGATTTTGTTTTCAGACAGTTATTCCCTCTGGTTTGGGATGTTGTGCAACTGAAAGGATTTTTTTTCTTATATTTTTAGTTTGAGACAGTTATTATACTGGGAGCAGCTGATTAGCCTCTCAAAAGTAGAAAAAAAATTTAAATGCCTGAATTTCCATACTAGTTTAAAAGGATGCTTCATGAATGCAGAGCAGAATGAAAGAGAAGAGAGAAGGGAAAGTTCAAATCCTGTCTTCCATCAATCATATCGGGCAAGGTTCATATCCTGACTCCTATGTCTCTCTGCCCGGTTTTCTGACCACACGGCCAGACAGAGATTTAAAGAGGAGGAGCTCCAAAGCAAATAAGATGAATTAGCAGTGTTCGCCAACAACAAATCTCTGTGTAATATTATCTCTGATGGTGATGGTCATACAGTGAGCCCTCCACACATTCTCTCGGTCAGACATCTGCAGACTTTACAAACCAAAAAGCAATTTTTGCACTAATGAAAAAAAAAAAACCTCAGTAAAGGATTTTTTTTGGTAATTTTTAAAGAACAAACATTTCTATTTTTAAGTTTTAAAATAAAGGAAACATTGAAAATAGACCACAGATTATATGGGATTAAAAATCACATATTTTCCAAACTAACAAGAAAAATAGACTTAAGAAATACTGGTCATTTTTTGACATTCTGTTGTCAAATTATTCAGAGAGAAAATCTATATTTGTTATTATATGTACATTTGCAAACATAACAGTGAACCCCTGATATAATCTATAGTTATAAGCATTTTTAGACTTCTCTAAAAATGGTTATAACTGCCTTAATATGCATTAACATAAAGAGTGGAAGCTCTTAGCACTACCACAGAAACTAACATCTACAGTCTTACTTATCTTCACTCTTGGGAGAAAAGTCAATCAGCACCAAGGAAAACAAATGGCATTTACAGATTGGCTGCGTTCTAAGAAGAACGTTCTTGTGACTTTTCTTGTTTTAAAGAGCAGCAATGAGACATCTGTCTCCATCATACTTATATCCCAGGGAATGAGCACGTTATTAGTATTCAAACATTTTAGAATGGCCTAATTAACTTTAAACATATACACTGACATTCAGTTATATGTCTTTATATGTTTTGGGTCCAAAATGTGACACTTATGGTATTTGAGACATTTTGATAAAACCAAAGAAATTTGTTTTTTTCTTCTGAAAAAACCAAACAATTTTTTTTTTTGCTTAAACTTAAAATATAAATTTACTTTAAGTTTAAGCCCTTCTCATATGTGTTTCAATCACAACTGCAGAAACAAACAAAATTCAGCTGTTTAGAAGCAACAATAGGTTGCATTTGGTTGCATCACAAACTCACAGCAAAGAGAATCTTCATCTCCAGGGTCTTGTGATTGGATAGTTGTTTTTTTTTTTTTTTACTTTATGATCATGTTTACTGCTGTGATTCCTCAGATATACCTATCCTCCACATTATTTGTGTCTCTTGTGGCGAAACATGGATAATCTTGAATGAAATGGAGAGCGTTCAGTTTGAATCTGAAGCTGCACTTTTATATTTTTTTTCATTCAGTAAACAAATCACTCATTCTTTCTCTCTGTGTGTGTTTTGACATTCCACTGTGAAAGTACAAATGCTTTCTGTTTACTCAATTTAAATAAAATTTTATCTTGGTCTGCAGTAAAGCTTCAGCTACAGGCGACCTCAGTGGGAGAGGTGATCATCAAAGGAGTTTGTGCAAACCGTTATCTGGCGATGAACAGAGATGGACGGCTGTTTGGAGCAGTGAGTGGCTATCGCTTTACAGATGTTATGTTTGTTTCATACAAAATTACTTAGTTATCTTGGTAATGTAATTAAATAATTGAAAAATGTTTTTCTACGAAGTCTAAACAGTTTGTCTGAGTTATTTAGTCTTGTTTTGTTAAGTCCAGGTAATCACATGTCATGGTTTAAAATGCCATAAAAATTTTATTCAATTTAGTTTTCCTTTCCAAGGAGAGTAGAGTGGGAAGGAAAATAAGCATTTAAATATGTGACAAGCATATAAATAGAAGTTAATTACCTTTAAAAATGCAGATTTTTAAACCTGCAGAAAAGGCAGGTATAAATGAAGAGCTGACTACCCTTCAGCCTTTTTCCATT